TATAAATATATATATTTATTCCAATTAAGTAGCATTGCCCCATATCTTTCATATAAACGTCAAAAGTGCCAGCTACAGGCAGACAAATATGTGTGTAAAAAAAGACTTACCAGCGAGTCGAGAAATCAAAAGACTTGCATCTGCTTATTTATTTGAGCGCTGGACAGATTCCCTTGTCTGGCGGGGCTGAGCTGTTGGACGCCTCGTCAACAGGCACATCTGAAATTAAACGTTTGAATGAGCTTTTCATATTAAGTGCTAAAAATAAATCAAGAAAAATATTCTGTATGTATAAATGTACTTTAGCAGCATCAGTCGAAAAAGTCTGCGCCAAAGGTCAGTGACGAAAACAGAAAAAATTAATAATAATGTGGCAAAAATATGTACAGCAGCTCTCTCGGCTAAACCACAGAGAAAACGCATGTACAACATTTTAGGCATTAAAATCAGTCGTAATTATTATTAGATTTTCGCAGAGCTCAACGTTTCACAAGAATTCAATATGGTAAAGCAACATTTCTATATAGATATAGTTTAATATTTGTCGAAATAAAACAAAGAACTTTGGTTTAGAATTTATGCTCCAAATTAAAACTCCATTTAACATTTGTAAAACAATTTGAACAGTCATTAGATACAATTGGGTGAATTGGGCAAAGAAAATTAAAAATAAATATGTATTTTTTACTCTTGCAGGAGGTATTTTAATTTTGTAATAAAATATGTATATGCATAGAAGAAGACATCTTCGACCCCATAAAGTAAGTGTATATACTCTAGATCGACATTAACAGCCGAATTGATATAGTTATGTCCATCCGTCCGTCTGTTTCTATTCGAACAAGACTCTCAGGTCTGTCTTTCTGTTGCAGGCAATACATATGTCGGATATCAAGATATCTAACCCAAACTCGGTCTTCACAAGTTTCACTATGATCCCTGCATACTTGCAAAATCTTATCAACATTGGATAGCTATAGCTGACATAGGAATGATCAGTCGAAAAGTTGGTTCAGATATGGAAACCTTTTATTATATTAAGATAATGACCAAACTCGTGATTTTATCATATGGTTATATGGTTATGACTTTATCATATGGTTATAGGTTATAAAAAACTCGAACTGCTCAATTCTCACATATCAGCAAAAGGCAAATATCTACAAGAATATTAATACTTCGCTTAAATTATTAAATTTACAGCATTTGAGTTGTTTATTTAAGAAGGAATACAAGCCGAACCCACATAGACGGCTTGAAACAATGTGTAAATAGTCGAAAATAAACAGCAACACATGTAAATTAGACTTCAGATTTAGCAAGAGTTACAAAATCTTGAGTGACTTTTGGCCAAGTTCTTGTCGAAAGCAGCTGCCGCCTGCCCGACTGCCTGCTAGGCATATGCGACGTATGCGCAACGCGGATTTACTTTACAATGTCAACAGAAGAGTCAGAAGCTGTCTGGTTCGCTGCTTGGTTGCTCATATGCCGCACACACACGCACACACCCACACACACTTGAAGCCAAGTTATGCCTACAAAGTGAATACGAATTCACAGGAGCAGCCACTGCTTGAATATTGTACAGAATTTTTCTTTGCTGCTTTAAGTAGCAGCACGAGGAGTGGAAGAAAATTGGTTACAGCCCAGGTAGCGAACGGCATTTGTTTATGGTCACATGGTGTGTCTCATGCGGAGTGGCGGAGTGGGGGAGCAGCCACTATTCACTTCACTTTGCCTCGCATAAAATGTGTCGTGTCATGTGCTTAAGAAGTATGAAGCATAATGCCGCAGAAGTGAGGAAACGTGCCCACTTATCGGAGGACCCCAACCGGGACGAGCCAAAGAGAATACGCACAACAGTTGAAAACGAGCTCAAGTGAAGTTAAAGTTGAGGGGCGTTGGGGGGTTAGGGGCGGGTGAATGTGAAGCGGTAAGTCGACAGGCCTCAATAAATAAATAGCAGCTGCATCAGTTGACAATGCCGCAGTCCTGGGCCTTCCTGCTACAATACTCCTGACGTCCTGTGATTTCCTGTGGAACGCGCAAGGAAGATAACAAAAATTAAGTAACCAACCCAGCAAAAGGGGCCCTCGCGGCAAGCAGCATGTGTTAAGCAGCCGATGAATATGTGAGTTGGCTAATAGCGTAGATTGGATAAGGCGTAAATATACAATATAATACAATCGAGCTGATGCTTGGTGCTGCGAATGCGATTAGCCAATCACTTGATTTCGCATCACCGAATGCTCTACAATATCAGAATGGTATAAGGGTCTTATAGAATGCAAGAGAATTCTTCGAGAGAAAAATATCTACTTAGATTTTGTCCATATAAATATTAATATATTATGTTTTTAAAGGTATGCCTAGGTGTATAAAGGTATGTTTTCTACAAGTTTTTTTCATTCTCAAAGTATGTTTATGCAGGCGTATTTCTGGCAAAAGGTTGCTTTCCAATTGGCATTCAATTGATTTTGAATATCATATTTTATATATAATATTTTATAAAAACATGTTTTACAAAAATGAGTTGTTTCACTTTTCAGTTCAGGCAAAACGATATTTCGACGATTCAATATATTCGGAAAGTCAATATGAATTTCTATTTTAGTTGTTTTCAGTTTTATTATCCGAAAGGTATTTAGCATTTGTCTAACATTATTTCCCAGCCAAATACAATACATCAAAAATCACAAGAAATCCACTGACAACACACCAAAATAATAAAAACAACAAAGAAAAAACTCACTCAATATTTCGGCTCATAGATTTTCACTCGGCGATGTTTTCAAGCTGCAATTGAGTGAGAAGTCGTGCAGGCAGTTCGGGCTTGTGATAGGGAATTGCATCGTATTTGCCGACAACATACAACGATTTGCTCGGACTCGAGCGCTTATCAGCAGATAACCTGTTGGTTAACGGGAACGCCGGCGCGAGCGTCGCAGCTGCTGCGGCGACGTCGTGACGTTGTCGTCGTCGTCGGCGTCGTCGGCGTCGTCATCACACACAGCGTATGACAATACGGAGCTCGTGTATGCCGAGACCGCCGAGGCTGTCGTCAGTTGCTTGTGTTTCCTCGTTGGCGCTGGACGCGAAGCGGCAAAAATCAAATATCTAGAAAGAAAACAGAAAACATTTCAAATATATTCAAGTCGACAACAAACAGACACATTTGACGCGTTGCGTATACGCCACATTTGCCTAGGCAACAGTGAGAAGACTCGCGCGTGATTTTCCGTGAACCGGCAAATAGCAAATTCAAGTCCAACCAAGTGCCGGAGCGTGCTCGAGTGCGGATCCGCAACGACGTTACGGTCTACGGTTGCGTTTGCGTCTGCGGTTCCGTTTTTGTTGACATTTTGGTGACGCGTCGGTTGGCACGAAACGAAAAATCAAAAAAAGAACAGGAACTTTTGGCTTTCGCTTTTGTTCAACTGTCTGGGCCAGGCTTTAGGCTTGAAGTGCAAGTTAAACAGGCAACAACTTAACCCTGAGCCTCAAATTAAATCCATTGTCAGCAGGTGGGTAAACCGACTGTGAACTCAACTCCTAAACGTAAAAGTGTACTTGCTAATAAGTTCGACATATTTCGGGATGCCCAATGCCTCCAGAGTGTGTATTACATCCGCACAAATTCAATTTCCAGACAACTTTTTAGGCTAACCCATAAGGCAAAAAAAAAAAAAAAACAAAGAGAAGAGAAAAGTTTTATTTGTACTCAAAACGGTCGCAACTTTTTGCGACACAACAAACAAGTTAGAAGGATGGCAAAAATTTCAAATAAAAAAGAAACACGCCTTTGTTAGAAAAAGTCAAATGCATTTCGGCCGTGCAAACAAAAGAAATGCGAAAGAAATGAGAACGTTTTCTTGTTGTTTTTTGTCTTCTATATATATTTTTTGCTGCCTTTTATGACCTGCCACAAAACGCGCGACTGTCCATAAATTAAATATGCAAATTAATGGGTATGCTCGAGTATTGTCAAGACAAATGTTTGTGCAGCTGACGACACGCTGTCAAATTTGCAAGACAATTAAATACTATCAATATGTTTTATTGTTGGCCCAACTATTGATTTTCATTTGTCCCAGCTGACGCTGAGAGGCATGTCATCAATTGTAGATTTGAATATTCATCATACACACACCAGACACACACACACACACACACACGTGCATGCTCTTATTGCTTTGTCTTTGCTTGGAACTTAATGAATACGGGTTACAGCTTCACACTCAAATGCGCAACGTTTTGTTAGAGTACATATACTCTCCCTCTGTGTGTGTGTGTGCGTCTCCCAGCTGACTCAGTTGTGCTTAATTTTACAATCCATAGGGTCAAGCAATTAACACGTGGTCAGCTAGTGGCTGCTTGCATTAAATGTTCATAATAAATTAAATGCAATGACTATTGAAAATTTGCATTATCAAACAGTTCAATTTGCTGCTCAGTTTAGTAACAAATTTATATATAAATAATTTTAAAAATAAACTAAGCAAATCAGTTCCATTAATAGCTTTTTGATAATTAATTAATTACTAATCAACTGTGATTAAACCAAATATGATTTGAAATATTATTTTTGCGTAGCTCTTCTACGAGATATGCTGCATGTTAATTCTCCCATTTATCAAGCATACAATTGAATACGCTTTCCACAATATGCCAGCTGAATGTAGCTTGAGCTTACTTTTTATTTTAACTGGAATAACAAAGTAATCCAAGACGATAAATATCTTGTATCCCGTTGTACTATACGAGAGCCATAGCAACTTTTGGGATATGAAAAAACCGATTTAATGCAAAGGGATGGATACATCGAAAGGAAACAATAAATGCGTTTTGTATATGTTAAAACATATTTTTCAAATTTAAAGTCTCTAGCTCGAAAAGAACTAGGAAAGGCTTAAAGTTTCTGGCATTAAAAGCGTAGACAAAATTTCATTTATATTGAATACAAAATAAATTTTGTTTAGACGATAATTAAATTCTGTTTTGCTTTTCTTTAAATTTTATTTTTATTTTACTTTAAAGCTTTATGTGCTTTGGCTAAGCAAAGTTATATAAGAAATAATTTCATGGAAATACAAACTAATTGAATATCAATCAGAAATCTAGAGTGCAAAGACGAGCAATTCAAACTATTAGCAAAACCGCCATAGAATTTGTAACTATCATTAATATAACATTGGGCCAATTTAATGTGAAAACTGATAAATTTGTGGCCATGACGAGAGCCAAAAGACACAAAAAGTTGTGTTTAGCGGTTAGAGCAGAGCAAAAAACGCATTTCAATTTGCATATCAACGCGTTTCTGGAAAATGGCAAATGGTCGCTGATAGCAGCGAATTTCGTTGGAATCCACAAAAGGAGCCAGCAAGTCGAAGGACGAAAACAACATTGACTTTGACGTTGATGGTGTCTTCAAGGCGTGTCAGCGGCGGGGGAAATGTCTTGAAATGTCCAAGGTACTTCCATCTCTGATGTTACCTGATGTATATTTGCATTTAGATCAAACAAGCTGCCAGCGCGGTGGCCCGGCAGGGTTAATAGCGGCGGGGGTGAAGTGTTTACTCTCTGTAGACGTGTACTGCATTGGCAGTGATAATTTGTGCAAAAACATTTCAAGCTTCGTTTGCTTTAATACCCTGTAAAACAAATAGCCCGTTAAAAGCTATAGCTGCCCGGTTGTGTTGCTTTGAGATTGCAAATCACTAAAATTTATGTAGCATACTTTGTAGAGTAGAAGAAGAAGGTATCGCGCTTTTCATTTCTTATTTTGCTATCGTTTTTATTGCAGCGTTTTATTGCTTTGTTAGTTTTGCATAAATTATGCATAGCAAAGTGTGTGCGTGTGCGTGCGATTTTCCTGGCCAAGTCGTGGGCCAAATAGGTTAGCGGGGCTGGCGGCAGCAGCTTGGCAACTGCTTGAATTCATTTGATTTCTTGCAGTCAGTCGCAAGTCACAGGTGACATTTTTATGGCCAATCTGCGCTGGCAATAAAACGATTGGCTTTTTCAAGGACAGCCATCGGGCCTGGTACGCCGTCAACAGCTGCCACAATGTAATCTACTTGTTTGTTACTTTGGCAGTCCACCAGTTGAAATGCTGGCGGCTGGCAAAACATGGCCCCTGGCTGGTCCGAGCTTAGATTTCAAAAATTTCCCTCGGGAATAGCGGTTGCATGCTCTCATACGGAATGAGCGTTGGAATCGGTTATGTGCCTTCAATTTACTATCCATATATTACTTAGCAAAATATCCGCAGTCCGTCTCCGTGGAGTATTGTGTTTTGCTGTTTTTCGATATCCACTTTGTTTAATAATTTATGCACTGCGCTGGGAATTGAGCTGCCTGGCAAAAGACTCAAATGCACACCAAAAATTAATTATATTTCAATTTAACGAAGGGTGCACAGTGGCCGACACACATCGTCACAGCTTGTACCCAACCAAAATAGACACAAATCCGCGGTTGATTCCGAGCTGCGCTCAAATTTGCGTTTATATAACACCTCAAATACTCTTTCCAAGGCAGCTAGCATATTGTAATAAAATCGTAGACATCTGTGTGCGGCTACCTTTATGCATATTGCTGGCTTCTATTCATGATCATTTTAAAATCTTAACTGTAATGCGCAGCCCTTTATATACTGTTGGCTATATATGTTGTGAGCTTAAATACATGATTTCTTATTAACATTTATGCAAACTCACCATCAGATCATCCGTACCGGGTCTTTTCGCAGCTTCAATTGCAGCCTAGTTTGAGTGGGTTACTGGCCCTTCTTCATCTTAGCTTGCATACACGATCTGTTATTCATAAATTTATATTAGCACACACGTACATTAACACTAACTGCAGATCTGCAACGGCCCGCATCGCAGCTTCGACTGAAGCCCAGCTACAAATGGACGCCCTTTATATACTCTTGGCTGCACCTGCTGTAAACTAACATAATCTGTTATTAATATTAATATGATCTGTTATTAACATTCAATGCAAACTTACCTTTGGACCATCCGTACCTGCCCGCTTCGTAGCCTCGACTGAAGCACAACTGCAATGGGCAACCCTTTATATACTGTCGGCTTCACCTGCTGTAAGCCAACATGATCTGTTATTGATATGATCTGTTATTAACATTTAATTCAAACTTACCATTAGCCAATCTGTACTGAGTCGCATCGCAGCTTCAACTGGTGCCTTCTTATAGTTGGCTGCTTTATTTATACTACTGGCTCTCCTTCTTTTTAGCTTGCATGCACGATCTGTTATTCATAATTTTATACTAACACACACGCGCATTAGCACTAACTCATGATCTGCACCCGCCCGCCCCGCAGCTTCGACTGAAGTCCAGCTGCAATGGGCAGGCCTTTATATACTGTGTGCAGCACCTGCTGTAAACTAAAATAATCTGTTATTAACATTTATTGCGAACAGTCTATCAGATCATCCTTACCGGCCCGCTTCGCAGCTACGACTAAAGCCCAGCTGCAATGTGCAGCCCTTTTATATACTGTTGGCTGCACCCGCTGTAAGCCAACATGATCTGTTATTGATATGATCTGTTATTAACATTTAATGCAAACTTACCATTAGCCCATCTGTACTGAGTCGCATCGAAGCTTCAACTGGTGCCTTCTTATAGTTGGCTGCTTTATTAATACTACTGGCTCTCCTTCTTTTTAGCTTGAATACACGATCTGTTATTCATATTTTTATACTAAAACACACGCGCATTAGCACTAACTCATGATCTGCACCCGCCCGCCCCGCAGCTTCGACTGAAGTCCAGCTGCAATGGGCAGGCCTTTATATACTGTGTGCAGCACCTGCTGTAAACTAACATAATCTGTTATTAACATTTAATGCGAACAGTCTATCAGATCATCCTTACCGGCCCGCTTCGCAGCTACGACTGAAGCCCAGCTGCAATGGGCAGCCCTTTTATATACTGTTGGCTGCACCTGCTGTAAACTAAAATAATCTGTTACTTACATTAATATGATCTGTTATTAACGTTCAATGCAAACTTACTATTGAATCATCCGTACCAGCACGCCTCGCAGCTCCGACTGAAGCCCAGCTGCAATAGGCAGCCCATTTTATATTGTGAACTTCACCTGATGTAAGTTAACATGATCTGTTATTAATATTAATATGATCTGTTATTAACATCGAATGCAAATTCACTATTAAACCGTCCGTACCGGCCCGCTTCGTAGCCCTTGTTTAGATTATCCTTCTATCATTTAATGCAAACTCCAGCATATCATCGAAAACTTTTCGCATCGCAACATCTATTGAATACCAGGGCTCGTTGGCTGCCTTATTTATACTAATGGCTCTTCTTCTTTTGGCTTGCATGCATGATCTGCTATTTTTATAAATATAATGCAAGTGCGCACGTACATTAACAGTAGCTTAAAATATGCGATGGCCTACCCCGCAGCTTTTATACTACTGGCTCTTCATATTGCAAGTTTACATGCATGATCTTTTTTTTAGCATGAAAAAACATGTATGCACACGCACATTATTTCGGTTTTAAGAACAGAGGGTTCAACTTATGCGGCTGACTTGTTGTAACTCAATACAAATGTGAAGAAAATGTGCAAAAGAGCATTTGAAATTCGGCTATATCTTCATCAATTAACATAGATGAGATTCTAGCCACAAGCATGGCCCCATCATAATCACCAGGCACGTTGGCTATGTCGATATGGTTCTGGTCCGCGGTCGCATCGTGGTTCAAATATCATTAAAATGCAAAAATTGATGAACGGCGCGAGGACAGCAGCCAGCTTGTGAGACCTGATGTGCGCCAAAGGGCTAAGAGCAAGAGAAAAAGAAACAGATATAGAGAGAGGGAGAGAGAGAGACAGGAACAGTTGCTGCGTGGGTGTGTTACGTTTGTGGCTGCTGCTTTTGCTGCTGCTGCTGAAACTGTTTGTGGTTCGGGTATGGGAGTGGGGGTGGTGGTGGTATTTGATGGGTTCGGCCGAGGTTGGTCGGCGCTTGAAGTGAGCATTTAATTAATTTTGCTTGTTGGCTTGGCGCACTGATTAAAACGCCATTTATAACATTTTATCTGCATTAAGTCAAAAAGAAGTTAGATGCTCATTAATTTGCATAGACTAAGCCGGAAGGCAGCTGAGATAATGCTGACGATGCATTTATGTGTGTATGTAGTATATATGTGTGTAACAGCCTGCAGTTTAGTTTTTACAATTAAGCAAATGGTAACTGAGCTGAGCTTGACTGTATTTTCATTAAAGCATTTATAATGAGCTTATGCACAGTTTTACAGCATAGCTGTCAGACACAATAGCCAAGTTAGCCTGAAAAATGGCATATGAAACCTTTTAGTTTAAGCTCTCTCAACTAAAGTTGCTTCGGTGGCTTACTTCAGGGCCAGAAACACACATATGCCATCAAGCTGTGGCTTTTAAATGACCACGCCCTAAACGTAGCTGATGATGCTATTCAACGCTTGAATGCCCAACTATCGCAAATGGCCCAACATTATGCTGGGATCTCTGGCTATCTTGTGTGGCAGCCGAAGACATTTTCACAGTGCACTGCCTTCTGATAAGGCACAACAACAATGATAAGCTAAAAAGGTTCATCCGAGTACAACAAACCCTTGCAGCGCTTCTGCATGTGTGTGTGTGTGTGTCTGTATAAAATTTATGGAAGCCATTGTCTTCTGCTTAACCGCCATATAGCTAGAATGGCTGGCAAGGCAACATGGTCGCTGCACCGAATGGTCAATTAATAATGGTCACTGGCCCTTTGAACCGCACGTCTTTGGCCCAAACTGCAGTCGCAGCCCTTGAAGTGCGCCTCGCAGTGTGCAATAGAAAAAAAATAAATTGGATTCAGCTTTAAGCCCGATTCGAGTTGCTCGGAACAAAAGTAAACGCATGTGGCAATATTCTCAATAAAATTCATTGATTTTCATTGGCGTGGGCACAAGTCATTGAAGTCGGGGCCGTGTGCAACTTTTAGTTGTATTAATATTGGTTTTACCCGCCGCCGCCATGTGCCATCTCCCATCTCCCATCTCCCATCTCCCATGTAGCGCGTGTGTTGTCCAAGGCAGAGGGGGGAAATCGACGGCGACGGCGACGGCAAAAGGTTGTTGGGCAAACAAATAGCGTCAAAAGACAAGGGAAAATCGCTTGGATGGTCGAGCAGGAAGGTCCTTGCTTTGGTTTGGTTTTGCCTTGTTGCTCACATTGCTGGTGCCAGCTGAAAAGGTTAAACGCCTAACCAAGTGAACAATATAAACAATGAAAAAGCACAAATCCAAACAGATAAAAGACTTGAATGAACGGGTTAAGCATTAAAGATTGGTCGATTAGAAAAACTTGAACTTTGTTCTTGAACTTCCACCATTTTCCCAGGTATGTTGCGAGTCAAGAAATGTTTCATTATGCTTTTGAGGTTGCATCACACAACAGACTCTACAATCTACTAACTCACTTCAAAACTATTTTATTGATTTTAATTTCGTCTAAAAGTCGGCTAAAAACTTTTATTATACAAGTCCAACCTTTGATCAAGCGGTGGGAACTGTCGATTCTAATTAAAATTATTTTCATTATCAACAATTTCCAAAATCAAAGTAAGTTGCAAACTTCCAACTAAAATTGGTCTCGAAATCCTTTCACTCAATTTCGGTTTATGTATAAAAAGTTTAGTTTAAACGGAAATTTAAACTTAAGCCAACATTTTTTGCTGCCAAATTTGAGCAGGATAACTAAAATACTTTCTGAAATATGCTACTGAGTAACTTTAGAACGAAGCTTAGTTTGAAATAAAGTTGAAAAGTATCATGCCTAATTAGTAACTTTTAATTGATAACAACTTTAAGCCTGGCTGTTAAGCATTTATTCAAGCATCGAACCGAGCAAAGTGTCGCAGGAAGCATTCAACTATTATAAAATTCAATTGTTGTTTCGCAGAATAAAAGAAGACAATGCCAGGAGACTGACAGTGTGACAGAGAAATCCATAGACAGACAGACAGATGTTGATAAGTATACATATGCAGACATGCAGACCTGTCAGTTCTCCTTGTTAGGCAGGCTGTCTGCCATTTGGAAAATTACTCATTTTTATGCATGTGCGCCCCGGAGACCCACCCCCTTGACGGTGGCCCCTTTTGGTGAGATGGTGAAGCAAATGACACTCAAAGTTCAACACTGCCATCGTGTCCTTGGCATTTCATTTTAGCCATGGCTTGCGTTTTGGTTATTACTGGCTTGGCGAGGCCATATCAACTCTCTCAGTGCACACATGAATGTACGAATAATTCTCAATAGTTGTTTTTTTTTTTTTTTTTTTGTTGCTTAGTCGTGCGGCGAAACGCATCGCCTGCAGGCAGACAGTTAGACAGTTGGAAAGCTTATGCCATGTCATGGAGCATTTAACCCAAAAACTACCAGCTGACAGTCAAATTCAAATGCTGAGCTCTCTCAATGCATTCCGTGCATGCTTTGATGTCATCTAAACTTGTCTTCTAGTCGATTTCAATCATCTTTGAGAACTTAACAAGTAAGTGTCGAGAGTGTCTGACTAATAGATATCCAGTTCTCAGCTTCGAAACTGACACTCGCAAACGGACATACGCAAAATGTATTCTGAATTGAGTCTTTAGTCGAAAAGTATTCAAAGAGAGAGATTGAAAGATCTTCTGGTAGCCTATATACCAAAAGTCTTTAGCTTTAATAATCGAAATGGAATGGAAATTTGAACAACTTATTAGAGCTACTTTCTTCTGCCTGATACACCTTTTTCACGCCGTGTACAGGGTATACAAATGAAATTATGACACGAACTTTAATGGACTTGAAAACTTTACAAGTGATAAATTACCAGAAAACTTTTAGCCATACTTTTAATCACATATGAGGACTTAAACTACTTGGTGGCATGCGGCAAGCACATGATAAAGAAATTCATTTTCAGCCGCAATATCTGGTTTCTTGGTGACATAATTAATTTTAAATTGTTATACAACTTGACTTGCAATTGCCAGAGCAATTGAAAGCGTTGTTTACTTTGATTAAAAGTAAATTTAATAATAATATATTCAGCAAATATGGAAATGAAATTCTAAAAAAGAAGTCAAACAAATTTGTTAGCTTATAATTGCCCGGCTACACAAAGCGTGTAGTAGCCGTAATTGCTTTACATATTCAAATTATATTCGAGAGATTTGGAGCCATAACAGAACACGCACAGACACAAATCCTCAACGACCACAACGACAACAACAGCATAAAAAGCACAAAGTCCATTGTGCGGCAAGTTTTGGTTTGATGCGTTTACATATTTGCCCAGACTTAGTCTCGAGTTCCCCGTTTGCCGTCTCTGCATGCCTCGTTGAACCTTGGCCAAAAATGGCCGTGTAATTTGTATGAAATTCGCCTTCAGACTCGAGAACTCTAAGTGCTCCGGTGATGGCAAACATTTCAAATTTCGAATGGAAGAAAAGAAATATATATATATATAAGATAGATGGGAAACAGAATAGAGCACTCGCTCACATAGGCTGAATTGTTGCCTTATTTACATTTGGCTCAGGGTCTTTTTTTGCGTTTGTTTGCAAGAGGCGTGAGAAGGAGGAGGAGGGGGGCGGCGGTCTATTCGGGTCACTCAATGGCCGTAAATTCATGCAAAAACAATCTTATTAATGGCTATAGGGGCCACCCCGCATGCCCGCACACAGATTGTGTTAATAATGTTTAACTGCGATTTTTATACGCGTTTTCTATTTTTTGCTGTTCGCCTTTTTTGTTGCTATTGCTGTTGCTGTTGTTGTTATCAGCGCCTGGATTTCCTGTTGCTGTCTGCTGTTGTTTGCCAATTTTAGCCATTTAGTTTGATTTCAGTGTTATCTTTATGTGCTCCCGCTTATCGTTCTACCATATATACCCAGTAATGCGCTTAGCCCCATGGCCCAAGGGCCTAACAGTGGGCACGACATTTATCACAAAATACGACAACCCCCGGGCTCAGTTCGCTCAAATCGCATCAACTCTGACAAGTAGTTGCTGTCACGCGAGGGTATTACAATTCATGTACACACTTTGGCGCAGCAAGGTGCTCTAGGAGCTACAAAGTGATGTTAAATTATAATTTATATAGTTTTTGTAATTTTATAGTCAATTCCATGAAAATTCAGCTTGAAATAAATCTATAACTATTTCATTGAGTTTTCCAATCATATATTGTTGGCAGCATATTAAGACTTCGGCATATACTTAAATAAACTGAGGGTATTTGCACTTCATTGATTTTTTTGGACGCATTATATTTATTATGATTGTTTTATTTGAATGCTCTCGAATTTTGTACACAATTTATGAAGTATATCATAAAAATTAAATGCAAATACTGAGTCACTCAGATGTTTAACGACTTGGCCTCATCGCGAGTGCATTGTGCGCTTAAATGGAAATAAATTCTCTAATTAGTTGTTGAGCGCATAAATCAGCAAATAAATATTCCGGCCACACATATGTACATACTAAATATGTGTATGCATATTCACATAGATACTCGTCGATGAATAATGCTCGAAATTTCAACAATTTGCAAAGTGGTCGTCGCTGTTGGCATGAGCAATAATTTTAAGTGGTTGCTGTTGTGTATTTTAATTAAATATTTTTTGTTTCCAATCGAGACGATTGGATATCATGACATTTACACTAAACACATGTTTGCATTTCAGTCTCTCAATTGCCCATCTGTCTGTCCGTTTGCCTGACAGTCTGTCCGTCCGTCCGTTTGTTTGTTTTTCCATCCATCAGCTGTTCAGTAATTTCTTTGATGCGTGGCAAAACTTTCGCAACTAGGAAAACTATCGCAAGAAAAACTTTGTAATTAATTATCATAAAAATAGCCAAGTTGATTAGTACAAAATGCTAAGAGGCGTGTGCTGCCCATCATCATCATCATCATCATCATCAGAAGCAGCATCATCATCATCGTCATTCTCAACAGCCAGCTGAGCATTGATCATACACAAGACCAGTAGCTGGCAATTTTGGACTGAGCTACTGGCATCATTAGTGGAATTTATAGCCAAGTTAATGGCATAGTTCTCTCGAGTAGCTGTGTGTGTGTGGGAAACAGCTTAAAAACTAGTTAAGGGCTGCTTGGTTGTGGCTGAGTTACTTTTTGTTATATACATTTTTCAGCTGTAAGCAACGAAACTCGTACGAGTCCTACAGGCAAGCATTGTTCTACAACAAATGGTATAAAGTTGAATAAAATTAAATAGAAAGTGCTCGACTTGAATTCTCAGAAAAACAACAACAACAACAATGTGCAGACTATTTTTACGTCTCATAGTTGATTCATTTAAATGAATTCAATAGAATTTCAGTTTGTAATTAAAACACAAATGCCTTTGGCAAAGGAAATTAATTTTCTTGTGCTAATGCACGTGTGAAATTAATTTAACAGAATTTGAGCTTTCGAATCGTTGCATACGAATCCTAACTAAATTACAATGGGCTTAACCCAACCAGACAATAGAAAATAAAAGTGATAATAGCAAGTGGAACTGTTGGCCCTCTTCCATTAAATCTGATGTTAGGGAGGGTCATCCTGACAGCCGTTCCATCTTGTGACAGGCCGGAAAAGAATAAAAACCCATAAAACCTTTCACGTGCGCCAAAAAGTAGGCAACATATGTTGTACTTATAACTGATGAAGAAGAAGCACTAGATGCCATCTATTCAATAAATGTTTCACCTAAAAATTAATGATGAAAAAACAGCACGGTAAGCTGCCATTAATGTGAGTGGTGTTTGGACTACCAAACGCCTGGCTTCATTATAACCCAGCCCAGATGAGAGATAAATTGTTCTGAAAAAATGGTGACAAATGCATCAAAATTAAAAATACCAAGTGCCGCAGCAGACGTCGCCCGAAGGACGCGTCAAGGAGCTGACGAGAATCGACGGGATGACACACCCAAGCTGCTTTGTGCTGCCTTGTTAGTAATGATAATGTGGAGGATAAGCACGATGCCGATGCCGATGATGAAGATGATGATGACGAAGATGATGATTATGACGAGCTTGATAATGATTTTGATGATGTTTACAGCTTGAGTAGTTGCCGCCTTTGTTGTGGCCCCTTGTCTGTCGGGCAATCGCGTAATATAAAATTCTTAACGGCCATTTTTTACGGAATTTCCCGTTTTCGCAGTTCGTTTTATGCAGCGGCTGCCCCGTGGCCGTTTGTTGCCAACCTGCGGATCTAGCCCCGATTTCGGGCAAACGCTTTGCACACTTCCGCCTATTAATTTATCAAAGTTATTATATTTTTCCTGGGCCCGCGGCATTCATCAATTTTTGTCATTCCTTCATATTGAGGATTCTAATGCCACAAAGCAAGAAATGTGATGAGAATGACAACAATTTTTTCAACGTCTCGCCCTTTTATTGGGTTGACAGCTAACATAATTGAATTGGCTTACAGAATTTAAAATATTTGACTAGAAATTAACTGCCCTCATTTGCACTTGATGATGCGACTGTCTTTGCCGCTTGCCACAAAACATTGCCATCGGATGAGAAAGCCGTATTAAAGTGTTGTTGTTTGTGCAGAGCAACTCTCAAAACTGCAGAATACCAACTGATGTTAACCAAAATCCGATTCGCATTCGCATTTGCATTTACATGAAGGACGCACCGTCAGCAATATCACTCGACCTGATTATGACTAAAGAGCATGGGGCATGCAGTCTACTCAGTTGTTCATGTGTTGTGTTCATCTGCCAGTTGCAAACTTTGAAACTTCTATGAAAAGGCAGCTTTCATGAAAACCATATTCTAATTAGCTTTGGAAAATTATCAAACAGTTTTTCAGGGCTAAATTAATGTGGTCATGGAACGGAAATTGAAGTTCTCGGAAGCTTTACAGTGAAAGCAAACTAGAACTTCTGTCTGTTGAAAGTATTTTTAATTTGTTTTTCTTCAAATAACTGGAATTATCTAAGGGTTGGGTTATGCTCATTCAGCATAGAGTATTGTCTAATATTTGGGTTTGTAGTTTCTCTTAAAAACAACAAAATAATAAAATCATGCACAATTCTGTAATAAACACTATATGTGCAACAACGAGAGAAATTCCTTAACTATCTAACATCAAAATTTTTAAAATGAATTTTATGGTTTTGCATTTTGTAGAAATTGTTGTTTTAAATAAAACTTTATTAAACATATGTGATATGCTGATGCTAATTGTGTAAAAAGCTGAACTTGAGATAAATATAAAGTCACCAGCTTTGAATGCAAAAGATTTTTTAATTGTCAGTAGTTTATTTATACTCCTTAGTTTTTGTCTGACTAATCATAAACGACATTCACACAATTTCGAGCTGTACTCAGTCGAAGAACTATCAAATCATCTTATTATACACCAGATTATATAATCTGGAGTAAAGACAATTGCTGATTTGTTCTGACGCCATCGCCGTGACCTTTCCAACTGTAGTTATATCAATTGCCCTTAGACAATATATATAAACTCGAATCCTAATGCCACACTTTTACTTCCGGCTTGGCGCATTTTGCTGCCACATTGTTTTTAATAAAGCCAGCGCCAGCCTCCACCCCCTCTGTTGCCCCTAGCGCTGGGACAGTGTGTGTATAAGGGCAAGTGAGAAGGCAAATAAAATAGATGCCAGTCAAGGCAACAGCTTAATCCATGGGACAAAGGCGAAACAAAAGCGCAATGCACAGCGGTGCGTGCGACCCAGAGTGGAGCGAAGCGGGGCGGGGCGAGGCAGGACAGAGAAGAACAAAGTTTGTTTCAAATTCCAACTAAGAACTAATTCCGTTCGAAGAAACTTTTGCATTTTATACAAATCTAATGCAAGTTGTATACTGATTTTTCATTGCGCTTCTTTCTTTTTAGAGTCCATGCAATTAGCAATGAGCCACATATTACAGGAAACTTTTTGAATGCGAAAAACATTAAAGATACAGATAAATTTGAGACGTGACTGCGCCCAGACGACGGATATGGCTGCTTAAGTGGCGCACTTCCGGTGAATCCGGACAGGAATAAGCAACAACAACCAACTCAAGCACAGCCGCAGTTATAGCCTTGGCCGCATCCACAGCCACCTCGGCCAGCTTAATCTCAATCTACAACTGAAAAGCGACTCATTAGGTATCCAAACAAAGTCCTTAAGCATGGCCAATGTAAGCAACGAGACGGTTAATGCTTGGCTGATCTCGGTCAGCACTCAGTTGCCGCATGTACTGGGCTTAGATGTGGGCGTCAATTGGAGCAGCAGCAGCACGACCAGCACCACAACAATGGCCACGCCCGGCAGTAGCATGGGCACCACCACCTCGGCGAGCACGGCGAGCAGCCTGTCCAGCGATGCGAATGCGGACGCGGCCGCGGATGCTGATAAATCGGGAATTATACACAATCAGTTCGTGCAGATCTTTTTCTATGTACTGTACACCACAGTGTTTGTCCTGGGTGTATTTGGCAATGTGCTTGTCTGCTATGTGGTGCTCAGGAATCGTGCCATGCAAACGGTGACCAATATATTCATTACCAATCTGGCGCTATCCGACATTTTGCTTTGTGTGCTGGCCGTGCCCTTTACGCCATTGTACACATTTATGGGTCGCTGGGCATTTGGGCGTACTCTGTGCCATTTGGTTTCCTTTGCCCAGGGCTGCAGCATATATATATCGACGCTGACGCTGACCTCGATTGCAATCGATCGCTATTTTGTGATCATATATCCGTTCCATCCGCGCATGAAACTCTCCACATGCATTGGTATCATCGTAAGCATCTGGGTGATCGCACTGCTGGCAACGGTGCCCTACGGCATGTACATGAAGATGACCAACGAGGTGATGGATAACACCACCCAGCTGGTTGGCGCCAATCAGACGAGCAGCAGCCGGTATGGCAATTATGGCCTTGTCACGCCCGATGCCACATCGGCTGCCCAGGCCTACATGCAGGTCATGACCGACGGCGTCACTGTCTGCGAGGAGAACTGGCCATCGGAGCATTATCGCAAGGTGTTTGGTGCCATAACTACGACGCTGCAATTTGTGTTGCCATTTTTTATCATATCCATTTGCTATGTATGGATCTCGGTCAAATTGAATCAGCGTGCCAGGGCCAAGCCGGGCTCGAAGTCGTCGCGACGCGAGGAGGCGGATCGGGATCGCAAGAAGCGCACGAATCGCATGCTTATCGCCATGGTGGCTGTCTTTGGTCTCAGCTGGTTGCCCATCAATTTGGTGAACATTTTTGATGACTTCGATGACAAGTCCAACGAGTGGCGCCTCTATATGCTGTTCTTCTTTGTGGCCCACTCGATTGCCATGAGCTCCACGTGCTACAATCCCTTTCTGTACGCCTGGCTGAATGAGAACTTCCGCAAGGAATTCAAGCATGTGCTGCCCTGCTTCAATCCATCCAACAACAACATCATCAACATCACCAGAGGCTACAATCGCAGCGATCGCAACACCTGCGGCCCGCGTCTGCATCATGGCAATGGCGAGGGCGGCGCTGGCGGCAGTCTTGATGCTGATGATCAGGATGACAATGGCATTACACAGGAGACCTGCTTGCCCAAGGAGAAACTGCTCATCATACCGCGCGAGCCAACCTATGGCAATGGCAACGGTGCCGTCTCCCCAATACTCAGTGGGCGTGGCATCAATGCAGCTCTCCTGCATGCCAGCCAGCCACAGCAGCAGCAGCAGCAACAAGTCCAGCAGCAGCAAGTGGAGCTAACGAGACGCATACGCCGGCGCACAGACGATGACACCGACTTTATAGACTCCGGCGATGAGCAGACGGTGGAGGTGCGCTTCAGCGAGACGCCGTTTGTCAGCTCCGACAATACGACGGGCATCAGCATGCTGGAGACAAGCGAGACCCAGTTCCAGGACTCAGGAGAGCTGCCCGAATTGAGCGCTGTTGTGGTTGGAGATACCTCCAGGCGATGTAACTGAGACAGGGTGAGTACCACGAAAGAGTTTTTGTTATGCAAACAATTGAAGAAAGCTTTAGGAGTGGGTCTGTCAAAACACATTTCTCAAGTGATATGCAGAATATTTAAAAGTGTTTATGGCTAATGCACTTTATGGATAAATGCCACTCAAAATCAATTTCACATATTTCGTCTGTATCAAAATTGAAAAAGCAGCAGCATAATTTATTCAGAGCGAAAGAAATGTCAAAAATTTGTGCCATATCATCATATGACGGCATCATGGAAAATTTTAGCTCACCACAAAAAAGAAATCAGCGCAAATATTTCGATGATGCAATCTATTTTCTGACAAAGCGTTGCCCCATAAAACTAGGTTAGGAACCTGCATGAGTTTCATGAGATTTGCAGTACCACAAAGCGCTCTTCATCAAGCATGGAGGGGTTGGGGCTTTGAGGTTCGGCTTATGGCGCACAGAAGCCAAGCAAAGCAGAGCAGCATTTGGCATGAGTTTCTTATGCTTTTTGTGCTGGCAAATTTCATTTGCTTAGCTCTAACTCGGTTGCAGTCGACGATGGTACGAGTATTTTCAACCAAGTCAAGCTAATAAATCAACAGTGAGTGCGAAAGTAACTGCTACTGTTGGAACTTATCGCATGTCATTGCACAAATCTAGTCCAGCAGCAGAAAAATTAATTATATTTGAAGAACAAAAGCAAACATATAAATTAAAGATATGTCGAAACTGTAAGAAAAAAAATTCAAATTGAAATGTTTTTACCATGAACCGAACCATTAAGCAAATGAGTTGATTAAAAATCATGCAAAAGGCACACTTAAACGAATTCAAATACAAATTTTGAGGAAGATGCATAACATGCGTATATTTAAAGTGTTAAAAATGCAAGAATATTTATAAGAAGGATTTTACTTGAAATATGCTAATACAATTTGGCATACCATTATTTATAATTTTATTTATACTTTCAAAAAGTTCACAGAAAGACTCTAACATGACAAATTGAAAGTGCATTAGACATTCGTTGAAGGTAAGCGTACATTTGCTTCTCCTTTTAGATTGTGAGTCCTAATCTACATTTAAAAGTCAAAGTAAGAGCTCGAGAGAGACAGCTTGAAAAAGACTTGCAATCGATTAGAAAAATATGTTAAACGTGCCGACCCTTTGGGTCAGGTGTTCTCCACAATATGCTGTTTACCATAAACAACAAGTGGAGCAAAATTTACAGTCACAACAACGACAACAACATGTAAACAAATAACCACTACTGTAGTCAGATAAATGGCTTGGATAATGGTCAACAGCCGGTGGCCAAGATAAGGCGAACTCTCCCATAAACATAAAGCTTTGACGCAGTATAATTTACATTTGGCTTATTTATTTATAATTTTTATGGAAAGCACATTATGGTGCTATCTGTCTGTGTCTGGGACTGGATCTCTGTTAGAGCAGCGGCATACTTGAACCGAAATGGCCAGTCATAAAATATATAAATAGCGCTGGCATTGAAATTTTATTTGATTAAAAGATGATTTACTGTATTAAGAGGCCATGAGAGTCCGTGGCGGAAGCAACAAATTTTGATAAATTGCATAAAATCTATATCCACAAATAGAACTACGTAGTACTAGCAGATGTTCTAGATAGAATTATATAGAATAAGATTATCTTTGTGCTGGTATGTAAGGAGCTTATAACTGGAAACTTATATTTATTTATTGTTCACGAAATGCGGAATAAGGGTTTTCTATTAGGAGTACAAATATTCTTTATCCATCTGTCTGTTCAAACTTTTAAAGATATCCTTATTAAACTTAATAGAAATAAGCTTCCCGAATATAAAATTCCTTTCAATTCAAATTCAACCGAAAAAGAAAAGAAAGTTGTGGAAAACTCAGCAAAAAACATCCGGAACTGAAATTCAGCTGTTTTCAGCCTTTTTCCATCCGACAGAGTTCAGCTTGCCAAGCAGCCTTTACAAATATATTCCTTAACATTTGTATACGTTCACTCACTCATTATCTAGATACATACATACATAAATTCAGATAACTTGTTGTTGTTGCTGTTTACATTTTGGCCATGTTTGCGGCTGGCTTTGAAGCCAGACCGAGCTAAACATATGAGCGCCATTCTGAGATGTCCGAGAGGCCTTTAATTTATGAATAATTCAGTGCGGTCGTTAGTGGCACACACTATGCTGTTCAGTTCCTAATTACCCGCTGGCATGTGGGCCGCCATTATGGGTCACGTGGGTGGTGTGAGGGCTGGGCCCGGTAAATAAGCTGAATGCACGGCTTGCGTTGGACGGAAGTGGGGTGGGTGTAACGTACATACAAAACGAAAAAAAAAAAATTCCTTGAATGCTTGTGCTCAGACTCGGCTTGGACGTGTAGTTTGGTATCTCTGCTCCCTAAACAGACGCTTTGAATTATGGAATCACGATGGTGGTGACTGAACGGTAAGTGATATAGTTGATGGTCCCTGCTCGGTCCCTGCTCGGGCGCCAGCACATTTGATGCATTATGCATGAGAACTGCAACTGGAATTGCAAACGGCAATTGTCGGACTTGCAGACAAAGTCAGCGAAGTGAAGTCGTAGTGGGAGCCCTTAAAGGAATGGCAAGGGGTCATGAACGGAGGGGGGCTGACAGCGAACGCACCCCTTTGTGTGGCGTCCCTGTAAACAAGTTTGCCAGCGAGTTAGTGCGAAACTTTTTACAACTAAATTGTATTTTGTTGTTTGCTGTCTGGTTTCTGCGAATGGCAAATGGCCCAGAACTTGCCTCTGCCTGATGGAGCAGGATGCGCTGCGGGAGGTATATTGGACAAGCTGACTCTATAGAATGCTAACTTTACAATTGCATATCAAGCTATCCTTTTTTTCAGCTGTTTCTGTTGCCAGTTTGTTAGTTTTAAAATGCCATCATTTTTGTGCCGCACAATGCGGTGGCTTCTGCTGCCTCTGATAAGCTTCGTTGGCCAACTTTTCAGACAAAAACTGTAAGCCGAGGCCCATCATTTACTGAAAAAGTTCTGGCATCTCCATTTCATGTAATCAATTTTGCAACAATTTAGAATATTCACCGCACTAAGTTTGCAGTGCTGAAATGCCAGAGCGAGCCGCAGTCCCTTTTGATAATAAACTCGGATATTTTGTGTCAAGAAATGCTTTATGCAATCACAAAGTTTGTTTGCAGTATTGAACATGAGACTGCCCGCAGAACGGCTTCAAATACCAATCCCATTAACGTTAATAGAAATGAAAGGGAGACAAGAATTTATTTTTAACAAATAGTTGGGAGCAAGCCCGGAATTCCAAGTATGCAACAGAACCAAAGCAAATTTTGTGTAAAAAATATTTGATTAAAAGTAAAAAATACCTTTGAGCCCAATGTAAAGATTAACTTGGCCCCAACCATCGCATTTATTTTACCCCATATGCTAGATGAAATTCGCGGACAGGAATTAAATATAGCCCGCAGCTTGATATGGAAATATTAACGGCTTGCAATATTTTCAGTACATCGGGAAAATAGAGGTTTAACGAAGTAAAGTTTCTAGTTAAATTAATGGATGTGAGTAAACTGGTTTTTGTGCTTGCAGCTTTAGTTAACTATATTGAACTGCTTTAATTTTGTTCTAGAAGCGAATTTTTTGCATTTCCAATGCCAATCAATCACACTAAAAGCGCACAAGTGCGTTGTAAAATCTAAAGAGCCTGATTAAACCAATACTAAATTGTTGCTTATAAAACTCCAACATAATGCGCCACGCCCCTCTTTTTCGAGAAAGGCAAATGTTTCAGTCGTTATTGTTGTCTTTGTGTGTTGTGTGTGGATTTAATGGCTACAATAAGAAGGTCTTTAGCTGCTTGAGGTTCATACATAAACATACACACACACACACACTAACACATGTAGAGTATAAGATGTTTTCGATATGTACTTACAGTCAACGTAAAATGTTTTGGCCATAAAAAAAATGATTGCCGTGCTTTCATTTTTGTATTCGCGCGATTTTAGCAGTTCTTAAATTCGGTTTTGACGTGTCATGAAACATGTGTTTCATTTGCGACTAGAGGGTCACGGGGGCGGATTAGGGGAGAGAGCTTGATGATACGCATTTATATTTTATAGCCTCACCATCAATATGTGTATTAGCCCAACGGATTCATGTTGACGGCAGCTGGTGCATAAGCCAACTTGACTGACAGTCAGACAGTCTGGCAGTTGGGAGGAAATAAAAGCGATTAATGAAGTTCCCAGCGCCAAATGGCAAGTCTCTAATTGACGTTTGGAATCGGTTGTCCCTTATGTGGGCGCCTGCAGGGAGCTATATAGCTGCTGTAATCGATAGCGGATCAGCTGTCTCCGAGATTAAGAACTACGCCCTTTGACCGACAGATTGGCATTACAAGGCAAATCAATGTACGAAGCAAATACACTAACTTGACAGTGGAATTCTTGAGCACTCTACAAAAATTTTAAATATATAAATAAAAACAATAATGTTAGTTAACATGTAAAGTAGACTTATCAAATGTAAATGTAAGACGCTCATTGCTCATAGAAACAGAGAGAAAGAAAGGGAGAGAGAGGGTAGAGAGACAGAGAGAGAGAGAGAAAGATTGAGACTTTTTTATTGATTTTACTTATTGGTTGAGAAATGAGGATTTAATAGATCGGTAAAAAATCATTTTACGGACCTTTCAATGTCGATAAGGCGTACATTTAACATTTACAAAAAGAAATAATAATTATGTACAAAATAAACATTATCATTAAAATGTACCCAATTTTCCAGGTGAATATTTTGAAAGGTGAGAAACAAAAGTTGAAAATGAGTTTGTAGCTTATTAGATATTTTATTTATATGGTTGGCCCATTAGCGAACAAACGCCTCTGTATTGCTATAATTGGCTGTTTTGGTAAGGGTATAATTAAATAAAAATGCAATTACCGTTTTACACATTATCAAAGGGCGTGAGCGAAAAGTCAGTTTAGTA